CTTAACCCTTTCACTCCCAGAGTCAATAAATGCTGTTGTACCTTTTGAGTTTATGGATGAAAACCTAGTGTGTGACCATTCAATTGAAATGTACGAGCAGTACTTTCAAGTGGTACTGTTTGTTATGCTGTACAAGCTGGTTCTAACTTTTGAGTCTGTGGATGAAACCCTAGTGTGTGACCATTCAATTGAAAGCTGATTTGAGCAGTACTTTCATGTGGTACTGTTTATTATTGCTGTACAAGTGGTTCTAACTTTTGAGTCTGTGGATGAAAACCCTAGTGTGTGACCATTCAATTGAAAGCTGATTTGAGCAGTACTTTCAAGTGGTTCTGTTTGTTTTTGAAAATGTTGCCAAATTTAATTCAAGATGTTTTCCTCAGTTTTGAAGTTTAGCAAAGCCTGTTGACTTAACTTCTTGTGAAATATCCAGCCTTTTCCATCCTTAACAATATTTCAGTCTGAAATATGATTTGATTTACTCTTGTGTATGGGTGTTTTAATGATTTCTTTAGAGTGACTAATGGTGATGGTAGAATTCCTAACTTGTTGACCCAAGAACAGTTTATACCTGGTAAATACATGATCAGATTTGAGACAGAGGCTTACTTCAAGGAGACTGGGAGTTTCGTCATACTTTCTATCCTTTGTGGAGGTAGGTAAAATGTAAACGGTTATGGGCTGAGTGGATTGAACATTATAATACTGTAATAATTATCATTATTCATCTGATGGATCATGCAATTATTGCATTATCAGATGAAAGTCAGTCATGGAGTTGTGGCCAGGCCAGGACTATTGAGGGACATTGAAAATTGCACTTGCCGTAAAAGCTCTATTTAGCCCCCCCTCTCTAATAAGCCCCCCCCCCCCCCCCCCCTTTGAAGTCAGATTTCGTAATAAGCCCCCTCCTCTTCTGGACACATCCCTTAACATCGCATTGTATTTTCATTATTAGTACCAGTGGTATCCACTTATGGGACATTTAACTTTTGTTGTTCTTTTTGTCTCTTCATTCACCAAAACATAACAGTGTAAGTTGTACACTACCCGCAACCTTTGCTATTTTAGGGTAGTGTTATTTCTGAAATTTATTTTAAAATAATACCAGTAGTGATAAAGGCTCAACATCTTAATAATTAATATAAATTTATATTATATCAATATTGAAGTCTCAAAGTTACATATAGCACTAAACTATTTCAAGATTGTGCTGTTCCAGAAAAGGGGTGGGGTTCAAATCAAAAAACCTTCCGTGGAACCACACAAATGATCTCAACAGTGTCATTGAATTATGATCTTGTTTAGCTTTTGTTGTAACCTGGTCTGTTTTTTTTGTTTCCTTTCAGATTGTGTTTCTCATCAGCGACCCATCTCAACACTACCATGTACCACTTCTCCTCAGCCCATTCTCTTACTCAACCTATCGTGGAAGCTGAGGACTGGGGACAATGATTTTGAAAATAACTAAACAAGCTAGTTGAGCCAAATGATGCTTTCCAGAAGTATTATCGGCAGATACCACTGCATTGTATGATCTCAGGGAGAATATAATTTTTTTCATGCAAAATATTTCTTCTTCAAAGTTTCTCAAAATGCTACAAATTATTATAGAAACATGTTACTTGTTTGGTAAATAAAGTTGGTCTAACATAATATTTATTCAGTCTTGTGACAATATTATTGAATTCAGTGTAGGTCTTGCATGGATAGGTTTAGCTCGCTGACTTAATTAACAGCATGATTTTTCGGGGTAAAATGTTCAGGGGGCGCAGTTGGTTGTTGTGTTGGACCCCAGATCAAGAGTAGTCTCCTGCACAGACATTCTTTTGGCTCATAGAAGAGATTGCACGATGAGAGAACGTCTGCGTGGAAGGCTAGATCTAGAGGGTGTTTGTTTGAGCATCTCCAGGCACCTTGGTTGCTGGGAGCAAACTTTGGACCTGTCATAAAATCACTCGTTTTCCAGGACACTCTAGCCTGTGAGAGCAGCTGGTTTTTCAGGTCTTGTTAAACTTGGCCGGAGGAAAAAAAATAGCTGAAAAATTCAGCTGCACTCGCAGGCTAAGGACTTTCCAGTCCTGGAAAATGACAGAACACAATTCCAGGACTTTCCAGGATTTCAAGAAACTGTACGAACCCTAGTCTCCTTCACAGCCGTTATTTGGCTCGTCACGCAACGCTTCTTGAGGAGTGCGTGACGACCCAAATAACGGCTGCATTGGAGACTATACAAACCCTGAAAAAAGCTAAAACAGTCTATTACAAAACTTTGTATGTGTAAGGAAACATGTTCTGCCACAAGCCTGGAAGTTTCTTTACTCATCTGTATAAATAAACTCATCACGCCTGTGCTGCACCTCAGCTAACAGTTTAGCATATTTTTTTCAATCTAATCAAGGCCAGTAAGTCAGTAAAGGGCAAATAATCCAGATGGAAAATCTGACTTATAGTCTACTAGTTACTGCATGTTATGGCCTCAAGCCAATATTTTCTAGTCAGCCCTCCCACTCATTCGATAAGTACCTATTGTCACAATGTCTGAATGTTTGGCTGCTGCAAATTTGCAGTAATTTTCACAGGGAATCACATTTTTCAAACTTCAACTTTTTTTCTTGAAAAATAAACTAATTTTCTTTTGTGGTTGATGTGCTGAATAAACATCCTAGGCCTATTATGTATGTATAGGCTAATCTTAACCTTTCATGCAAGGGCAAAATAAAGCAGCTGAAACCCGGGCAAACAATTAAACCCACAAGAATTTTTCTTGCAATAATTCTTGAGCACAAGAATAATTCTTGCGGCCTTGCACCTGTTTTTGTGGCTTTGCCACTATTATTTTGTCATTTACACAAAAATAAACTGCTATTGTAGCTTTGCAGGTAAGCCTGTGAATGTCTGCCTCCTCCCCTCAAAATAAATTGTGGAAGCGGATGTACATTGATACATAAAAAATGTAGACTACTTTGCAGCCTATCAGGCTTGGTAAAATGTACAGTGTAGTCACCTGTTATGGCTCAAGGCTACTAAAAGGGTGACAGTAAATAAAGAATTTGCAGGTTAAACATCACTGGGCATCAACATTTATACTAGTCTGCATTACAGACGAATTCAACCATTAAATCCGTCTGCGAACAGGTGCCACGAAGGCCAATCACAGACGAGTACATGCACAACGGTACGTCCAGAACAAGGATTTTGGCACCGGTTCGCAGATGGATTTAACAGTTGAATTCATCTGCAATACAGGCTACATGTCTACCAGATAAGCATCAAGAGGGATTTCAATAGGCAAGAACAAGTCATGGCTTATTGTTTTGAACAAACACATTTTTATTCTTTCACAACAGTCTTTACCCAACTAATCCCTATAAAAACATAACTGATCTGATGACAACCACGGCATATGACTTGACATCACAGTGACTGGTGTCAAGCTTAGATGAGAAAGCCTGACTACCTGGCAAGGGGAATCAATCATATGTTTTAAACTTGATGTAGAAAGATGTCGACTATCTACATGTACACACCTTATTTGCTTAGCGGAAGAGTTATTTCTCTAACTTAAGCTCGACTCGGGCTCATTTTAGCCCAAGCCGCTTTTAATAGGGAAAATCTGAGTATCGAACAAAAGAAAGTACTGTGATATAGTATAGGACGGTTACAATATCATAACTTCCTATTAGTCTCTATACATTAACTTTCATTCATAAATTTTATAACTTGTCTCCATTCATTTTGTTTGAATGAATTGATTTTTTAATGGTCAACAATATCCTAATTAAATAAAACTTTGAAAATATAAAATTATCTTTCGTTATGAACAACATATTTTCAGATCTCTTATGTACAAATGTATAAAATCGCTATTTACATCTTTAAAATGGTAACACACAACTGTGAATTCAAACTTTTTCAAATTCAACAGACTGGGTTGCTCTAAAAAATTCACAAATGCAATGAGCACCCAATTATATTACTTGTAATTCAAGTCAATCATGCAAGTAACAATATTATGGAGTCTATGAGACAATGACTAAATTCCGTACTATGTACAATATCCGTCTCTTTTTTGAAGCAACAATACTTGGTAATCATCTGTCGCTAACAGTTTGTTCCTATCTTGCAGACTTTGCCAGACCATATTTCTTTCTTTTATCTCATGTACTCCCACAATATCTTATTACACCTAGAATTAATTTAAGTAAATCTAATTTTTCCACGACATTACATTAGAGTCTATGACATAGTAAATTCATTTCAAGGCAGATCTTCCTCGCAGAAAAAATTTACAACAGCTTCGTAGGTGAGAAACATGATCGCGGTGTTTGGAACTTGTCGAAGAAGGTGAGTTCCTAGTCCTCCATAAAGTCCAACTCTACCTTCCTCGTGGAATATTTCCTAAACGCCTGAAAGAATGAATGATATCTTCTCTTTCCATCTAGTTCTTGCTGCCGTAGTCGTGTTCTGATTACCTCGTGCGGATATGCTGTAACAGATGCTATGCACTTTGAAGTCGCAGCAGCCATCATAAATTGCAAAAAGTCCACAATATTCTTCTCATGCGTGCCTCGCACTTTAAAGTGATGCCTTTGTACTTCAGCCTTAATATGTTCATAGATCACAAAGTGAATAACAGTCTCTGTAACGCCAACATAAGTTGCTGTTAATCCTCGATAGAAACCCTTTAATCCATCGGTCTTCCATATGTTGTGAATAAGTCTCAATATTTGCCCCTTTGAAGCCCTGAAATGGAAACAGATGAGGTATTTTAGAATCAAGTCAAGTTTTGTACTGGATAAACATGTAAACTTTACTGTACGGTTGGAAACAATTTTTGGTAGTACTCTCCCTATACATGCAAGACTTGCACCAAAAAATCAACAATATCATTTCAAGAAAGAAATGATGGCGAATTTTAAGCTTGGTAGAAATACATGTATGAGAAAGATGTTTTATCAGTCAGTGACACAAGATACTCAGAAAAAATTTTCCAAGAGTTCTCCCAACAAGAGTTGAACTATGACCTTCCCGAACACCAGTCGAATGCTCTACCACTGAGCTACAGGAGACGTGTGGGAGCTTAGGTCATTATTATTTCTACTCGCCCAAAGGGATTGAGAATCACATGGGTGAGTGGGCGAGTGCTAATTTAACATCCCTGTTACTGGTAATCTGTTTTGTAGATACTTACCCATTATCAAGCTGAAGTCTTGTTTTGATAACCCATAGAGGACTTGATAACGTTGATGTCACAAATACCTAAAGAAAAGAAAACACGTCATCCTATAAGTCACTTTCACAAATGCTGTGTGGCTAAACTATGTTGACAAAACAAACTATGATTAATTATACTGTGGATGAAATAATGCATCCTTTGACCAAAAAGGGCCCAGAATTCAGGGCCACATATCTGCATCTCGTTGAAGAATAACACCTATTGTGTTATGCCACATTCTGAGTCACCAAAGTGGCCCTGTGTTTTGTAATCACCCCACCATGCTATCACACTGTTGGAACGAACTATTGAGGCTATCTGATATTGCCTGATTACCATGTAAACATTGATCACAACATACCTGCCGAACATGCAGATCCAACATGTACAAATTTGCTCTCCGGCAATACCATGCCGCTCTTGTTGAGCGTGTGTTTAGCTTTGGCGTAAACTGAGAAATATAATGCTCTAGATGGAGCAACACCAACTAGTGTGGGTCCAAGACCTTTAAACAATGCCCCCATTCCTTCCGTCTGGATGATGTGTCTCAAACAGGACAGGATACCAACAGGCCTTTGGTAGCTGATCTCGACTGGAATACTCCAACATCCTGGCCCAGTTGCGGATGGACAAAGTACATGTCTGAAAGCTGGTACTGAGGACTGGACAAAGAAAGAAAAAAAATTGTTATTACATGTACAGCCAACTCTTGCCTTGTGGACACCCCTATTACAGACAACATCCAGCTCCCCAGCGAAAGCTATTTAGAGGTTTGACTGAAAATGACTCCTGCTATTACGGACTCTCGCAATTACGGATCCGAATTACGGACGCTACCAACATAACATATTTTATTGCTTTACTCTTGATAAAGCAGACATCTCGAACTTCTCATTCAACACATTTGTGTGTTAACTGGTCTTAACTGTAGTCTGCTGTTCATCATGTGTCGAGTTGTACAAACACACTTCCAGAGACTTCTGGAAGTTTATTTTTACACATGACTTTGCTTTTTCACTTTGCTTACATATTTTCCTTCCAGACTCTTTTGCGCACTTTTTTTTTATTATTATTTTTTAAATTGAATTGAAACATGACTCACATTACAACACTCTCTTTCGCACACCCTGCTATTGCGGACTCTCGCTATTACGGACCCCAAAGTACAAACCTGGGGGTGTTCGCTATAACAAGAGTTGAATGTACTGGGTTAAAATATTCATGGCAGACAGTCCAATCTAAGGTTGGAATGTGTGTCAGACTTGCTTAGTTACGGTTACGTGTATTGTAATTGAATCTGTTCAGTATTTTTTGTGCTTCACCGACCAAATCGTATTTGATGTTCACACCAAGTAGATAACATTGAACATAAACAAGTCAACACAACATGTGCATGTTATTTGAACTCTAGACTTGTTATGTAACTAGTTCAGACAGTCACGTTGAGGCAGTAATATCTGGTTTCACAAACAAACCCAAATACTAAAGGTTTTGTTATGATCAATATTAACAACAGGTTTTTCTTTAAAATAACTTCTTAACCAGTGGATATTCAGGCCTATTTATGGGGATGTCAAAACCCATTCGTTCCACGTCAAATCCTGTAATACGATCTCCCACAGAGGTTTATACTTTCGCAACACTTACAAATATCGGTTGTAGAACTAAATATAGAGGAAGAAAACAATTAAAATTGTGTAGTTTGCGAGGAGACTTGTAAGATCTTGTAAAGCTATTTACATTTTTCACAAGTTAAATAAATATTACATGATGGTGAAATGCTAATACACGTGATAGCCGGCTGGAAAAACATGTGTTGTTTTTGTTGATTTTATCATCGGCAGTTCAGAAAATCCTTACCTGCAATCTCGTCTTCACAACTCCAAAGGACATGTTAATGTAGCGCCAACAGTACCTCCAATACTGTAAAAGATTGTAAAGCAAATTAGTAATTGTATTACAGTCACGTTTCACGCTCAGTTGAAATTAGCCTCAAGGAATTCATTTCACTTCGATTCTACAAACGTTTCTCTTTCGGTCGGGTGTGCGTTAAAATTGTGTTTTGGAAGAATAACTCGAAACCAAAACGATCGAGAGGCTTGAAATATGAAATGGCAAAGAAGGCAGAAAAGGCAAAATATGAATGAACCGAGAAATGATGAATTTACAAGCGAAACAAGCGAAGCTTGTATGAAATTTGTTACGTGAACTTTTTCATGTCTTTCAGCTTGCACATGGTGATGCCGTAAGAAATTCCACAGTACGGATAAACTAAACTAGACAATGTGTTCTCACAAGCAAAATCTTAATTGATTCACGCCAAAACTTAGAACTTTATGAAGCATTTTCTCGCGGCTAAACAACGAAAACAACCGAATGGCGGTACCGTGTTTCCAACGGTGTTGGATTGTAAAGGTCATACGAACAACAAAAAAACACTGTTTTAGAACTAACATACCCTCCAGCCACTAAGTGGACATAAGAAGACTTTCCACTAGCCATTTCAGGCTGGATTTTGTACAGAACCGAAGCTTCGCTTCTGTCCGTCCGAATATTCAAGTCACAGGTCATAGAGATGTGATGCAAAACACGAACCTTGTACTCTTCTGTTTACCTGCGTGTTACCAAGTCTTCCCGCTACGACGATCACATGGCCACCGCACCGGAAGGAAAGGTCTTTCTTTAATCTGATTGGTCATTCAATCACTTTCACGTGCACTACACTCGCTGATTTCTGTCAAAGGTCACACCTATCACGTGGACATAGTGACATTTTCTTACTTTGTGGGAGGGGGCACTCGCTCTTCGAGCGCTTCGAGCACCTCGAGCGTGACGCTGCTGAATGAAGAAAGAGTACACGTGTACGCGTACGAGTGGAAAAACATTGATCTTGTTCCAGCAACGAAAATAAGGAAAGATTTCTGGAATGAATAGTCTTCTATCCATCGATGGAAGAGAAAATTAATACAGTTTTAGTCTCTATTATTGCATGTGACAGTCTGTGTACACGCAATGTTTTAACTCATGAATACGGCTTGGGTGCACGCAACGACGCTTTCTCTAGCTTTTCCACATGCTTAAGTCGAAAAACCGAAAGTCAAAATCCTCATAGTTTAAATTGATGTTTGTACCGCTTGTGATCGAGTTTAGGTCGGCAGAAAAGCGAGAAAAATATTTTGCGTGAATCAACAATGTCGCCATAGTTTGTGGACTTTGTGTGAATGAATGTTTATTTCCATAATAAAGTGATGGATTATACAGTATTGGATTGAGATATTTTTAAACATTTGGGAGGAGGACTAAAGAAACCCTAACGGGCTTTTACAAGGTAGTCCCAGTTTAGATTATCTTAAATTTTATGTTACTGAAATATTGCGGAACGATTACTTTCAGCAATGATAACAGTCAGAGTCGCATGCGTTTATACAGTCACGCACGGAAAAGTTAGAAAATGGATGCAAGAAGTGCTATGATTTCAAATTCACTTTGTTTTGCACATTCAGCTGTTCTAGCCTGGAGGCCATGATACAGTACGCGCGGAAGTCCGGTTTCTCGATAAAACACGTGGCGGTCTGTGAAATCGTGACTGTGGGCACTCAAGCGCAACATGAGACCCGCCCCCTGACACACCCTCGGGAAAGGAGCACCCGAGAGCCCGGCCCAAGAGCTGGAGACGAGCACGTCGCTTCGATGATCTCGCGCGATTAGAAAGCAGAGAAAGCCGCCACAGGAGCGGAAATAAGGTTACGAGTTCTACAGAGCAGGAGAATATTAACTGCCCTCAGTTTTTCGATCATGAGCGAGGGAGAGTGAAAGAGGTGTTCCCTCGGGGATGCTCCGTCACCCACACACCAGCACATACCAGCTCAACCCGATTTCCGCTTGCTCATCAGAACCGTCGAATTGTCTGTAATGGTTTTATATGATGTTCAAAGTTCACATTTCCACTGATTGTCACGTCTGCCTCACGGAAAATAACAACGCAACATGAATTCTGAGATTTTCAGCCATTCACAGGTCTTCACAATCAGGCTTTCTAGAGTCCATCACATTCGCAATCTTGGTTTCCTAGTTCGTGCAATTTGTGGATCATTTGTAAAAATTCGCGAAGTTCGGTGGCGTCACAAAAGAACATAGGCACGCAAGGCGTGCAGGAACCATTTTGGTGGTAGCCAATGGCATTTCCCTCAGAAATAAAATTAAAATTGCATTTGAATTGATACCATGAAACATATTATCATCTCCTGATATCATACATTTTTACCTTTTTTGCATTCGCAATTAATTCGGCGTTTTAATTTTTCGAAACCATTCAACAATTCCAGTGATCTTGCAGCACCTCAGTCAATTTCCGGTGGCTCGCCCCAGAACCATCGAATAGCCAGTCAGTCGACCAGTAACATATGGTTTATATGTTCAAAGTTCACATTTCCAATGATTGTCACTTTCAGACTTTATACTGTGGCCTTTTCAGAAATCTGTTCTGAATCACGAAAAATAACAACGCAAAATGAATTAAATGCTGAGATTTTCAGCCATTCACAATCGGGCTTTCTAGAGTCCATCACGTAGTCAATCTTGGTTTCTTTTAATTCATGCAATTTGTAAATCTTCAGGGACGAAAGTTCAGCAACCTCCAGCAACCTCGTTCCCAGGTTCTCTCTTCTTCCGCCAAAAGCGATCTTTTCAATCGCTTTTGGCGGGAAGAAGCCGAAGACCCCAGCTGCGTCACTTACAAAAGAACATAGGCACGCAACGCGTGCAAATGAGCCAATTGGTTGGTGCGGGTTATTTCATACCTACCCTGGGTGTCAGAGGCTTTTCCGGCCGATCCCGACGCGACGCGAGCGAGAA